AGGGAAGCCGGCGTCCTGGGTGCCAGAGGGAAACCCAGGTCCCGGGTGCCAGAGGGAAGCCGGTGCGGGCAGCCAGGGGAAGGAAGGCCTACTCTTGCACAAATTTGGTGCATCGGGCCTCTAGTTCTATATATATTATTTCAGACTTTCACTTTATATGTCCCTTCATGCCATCAAAAACTCTTCCAAAATCCAGAGGTATGATATCCTACCATAGAGGCACACCAGGATAGTGTAACCGGTCCCCTAATGCTGTACACAGGGAGTTTGAATTGATATATAATCAATGTACACAAGGAGTTTGCAAGTTAAAATCTAGAGTAAATATGTTGACAATTCAACAATCGTGAAAATGATTTCATTTTCTGTGAAACTAAAGCAAACAATTATTTTAAAAACCATCACAGCATTAGGTCATGGAAGTGTTTGCCATTTGTGAATTCTGCGATAACGCTATCTCCATTACAGAAAAGTACCAAAAACAAGCCAAGAGACCAAGGTCTACCTTTGCTTCCACTGATAACTTTGCTGCATGGCCCTGGGCAACTCTCCCGACTGTCATTTCCAACCCTGGGAAATGAAGAGGCTAAATTCTGATTCCATGGGTTCCTCAAAGCTGATTTCCCTCTTATTTCAGCATCAGTCACACTCACATTTGAATACAGCTGAGTTTGTTAACTAGGAATAGCCTGTTGGCATTTCTGTTACTTCTGCCAAATTTTTTTCTGCCACACTCCTGCCATTTTCTCTAACAGAAAAGAAGAAAGTGTTAGGGGTGTTAAGTCCTGCATTAAGCAATAAAAGCAAAATGAATAATCTGAGGAAAACAAGAAAAGGTAAAGCCAGAACAAGAAAAAGGGTCAGAATCGAATAAAGGACAAAAGCTTAAGTAGTTATGTCTGAGAAGGAAGTTGTCAGGTTTACTCATGAACACAATTTCATGGCTGGGCGTTTTCTCCTTGTATGTGTTTGGAATGGAATGACAAACAAAAGGCACAATCACATAGGCTCACTTGAAATGATGTGAAGTGTTCCAGAAATTGCTTGCTGCTCTCTGAAAATCAGATGTGTGGATTTAGGGTATTGTTTTAAGGGAAGAACTACTGAAGGGCCAGTTCAATCTGACACTCTCTTTCCAGCAGCTTAGGGAGGTTCTGTAGGAGGTTAAGGACAAGGCTAAGGAGGTGGGAAGCCAACAGATGGCAGACAGATGTCACAGAGGAGGAGAACAAAATAAACGCTGACTTACTTTCCTTCCCTCCTAGCAACCCGGGGCAAGCAGCCCGCTGCTCCTTGCTGCTCCTTTCTCCTTAAAGGTGAGGACAAAGC